ATTGTACTCTTTTGTCAAAGACTTAAGTTCATCGCAACTGTCCATATGTTATGCGACATCCTTCCTCACTTGACGAGATTGTCACTTGTGTTTCAGGTAAGCTTTTAAAAAGAGTGAATTTCAAATTTATCCTTGAACAATAATAACAATAAATAAACACTGATTTTGTTTCTTTTTTTAGAAGCAAAATGTAGATCTGCTTCTGCTGGAAGCCCTGCTTAGCAGCAGAATTGTTACTTTGAAGCAACTGGAGACTGATTTAGGCTATAATATGAAAGAACTTCTGCATCCTGTGTTACAAGCAGAAGATATTGCTGTCTCTGAAAGAAGAGAAGACGACTTCAGAAATCAGGTAAACTGCTTAATCAATTTCTGTCTGTACTATAGGCCATATGCCTACACAGACAGAAAGTTAAATAAAAAACAGCCAGATTATATTTGCCTACGCTTCCGCATCCTGCAACAACCACACTACCAACGGAACTATATTGGCGCGCCATACCTTCTATTGTTAAAAATCTGGCGGCGAAATGATCTGAGACCCTGGCGCCGCCACTTCTTCCCATGCCTTATGAACCTAGGCCAAATAAGTCCAGTGCCGACTGGCCGGCCAGAATGCTTCTGTTCCCAGTCTGGTTCAGCTTAGTTCTAGCCTAGCCTAGGTCAGTGTTGCCATTTGGCCTTTTTGACGGTCAGATTCCTCAAATCTGGCCATATAAAAATTTGCCTAGCCGTAACATTTGAAAAGTCACGGCCAAACTATATTTGGCCGAATTTTTGAAAAGGTTTTTTTTTTTTTTCAATTTAGGCCTAATATAATGTAGACTTGTTTTAGATAGGCCTATGTTGTTTTTGTTAGCTTAAATTCTATATTGATTCTAATCATGTACCTTTGTTTGTACTTGCACTAAACACTTAATCTATATGTTCCCCCTTTAGTTGATTTGACATAAAAGATTTTATTTAAAAGATAACAGTTACATTTAATAATTTAAATTGTTCGGATGAAATATATTTTTTTTATGAAGTTTATCCTCGTTTAAGCTTTATGAAGACAGTTCAATGCAAGTTTGTACCCTATATTATATATGTTCCATCCTAGTGGAGGTTCTATCTCTTTTGAATTTCTTTTAAATATAAATTATATACTGTACTTTAATTAATTTATTATTGCCCACTTGAATTGTATATAGCCCTAGGTGCTGCAAATACGTGTTCTTTATGTAGAGCGCCATATATAAATGCTTGATGCGATCATTCTGGTCCGATGGCACGTCCAATTTCAAGCAAGTGTTGCAAAGAATTCATCGAAGTTCCTCTGGAGTTGCATATGAGAATGAAGAAGATAATTCTGATAACAACGTTGATTTATTGCTTTAAGTACTGCGGCAAGAACATTCAGAGGCGAATTTAGAAAGTTTAGATAAAAAGTATTTATTAAAGTTTTCCTAGGTTTGTTTAAATGCCAGTTTGTGTTACCTACTGTAACTATGTAACTTAATTCATTCTAATTATAAAGATAGCCACAGATTTGTCAATAACAGGCCCTTAACATTTTTTCTATAGATCGACTACAATGTACCTTAATATTTAATGTACATTATACAATGTACCTTAATATTTAATGTACATTAAATCAAATTTAGATAAATCTTAATAATGTGATTTTAAATAGCAGAGGCGGATTTTTTTTTTTTTTTTTGGGGGGGGGAGGGGTTCAAAAAAAGAAGGAAAAAAAACGCATCAGGTTATTTTCGGGCGTCTAGAAAACAAAAATTTCCTCTAAGATTGTGTTATCTCGATTGGACCCACATTCGCCCCCCCATCCCCTTTTTTTCGGCCCCGGCTCCTTCCCCTTTTGGGCATCTCTGGATTCGCCCCCGAACTGGCCTACATGCTAGCAACTAAAGAACATAGGCTATTTAATATTATGATGTAGCTGTGCATGTATTTGATGGTGATAGATTAATTTAACCCATCCAGGCCCAACTTTTTTTAATTTTTTTAAATTTTTTTAGTGACATAAAAATAATTAAATATAATTTTTTCTGTTAAGAGTAATACAAATTCCTTTGTTAAGAATTGAAAGATAATAAAATGTTTTTCCTAAATAAGTGGTTATATAGTGTTGTGAAATTTTTAAAATAGAAAAAAAAAGTAATTATTTTAATAATTTTTTAGGCCCTGTTTATCAATAATTTTGAAAAAAAAGATAAAAAATACCAATTCAACAGTCAGAATAAATAAATGCATCTTCAAATCAGCAAATTATTCCTTTACAAAATAAAAATAAACTTGTAATTTTTGATCAAAAACTTCGGAAGATAAAAAATAATATAAAATTTCACCTCAAGGGGGGGGGGGCAGGGCTCGAAATTCACGCTAGCAAACTAGCAATTTGCTAGTAGGTTTGTCATAATTGCTAGGCAAAAATTCACAAACCAGCAAATTAAAAAAAATGATTGCTAGTTGAAATATCTATACAAAATATCTTGTAATTAGCCAAGTATTAACTAAAACTAGACTAAGCTGATCTACAAAAACTAATACAAATTTTATTAAAATTATTTATTTATTTTTTAATTATGAAAATCGACTAAAAATGCCTATTATCGACGAAAAACGATCGTTTTTTTTCATCTTGAGCACAAGATGTGAAGTGCGCCACCAACATTAATTTTTTTTAAAACCTTGCATTGCTTGCATGCATGCAACAAGCTAAGTAGGCAGTGTGCAGAAAAAAAAATCGCTCACATGTGTTTGTTGACGGAAGTCACGGGCGATGCAATCGGTAGTTAAGGCGAACATATTTAATTTGGTTCTTTTTAGATAATAAACAATGTTTCAGATATGATAATAATAATTTACTATGAAGCTTAGACAAATAATAGGTTACAACCTAGGCTTCAATTGGCAGATGTTTTAGGCCTAGCCTACTAGACGCTAGCCTAGCTAGTCTGGCTAGGCCTAGTACTGTAGTAGTAGACCTCCTAACCTAGGCCTAGGGTAGGCCTACTACTGCACCAGCAGCCGCCTAAAAAACGTCTAGCCCCAGCTTTAAAAGACCAAGGCCTATCAAAATAAATATTGTACAAACAAATCTTTTATGTAAAATTGATTTTCTGTTATGGCCTTTTCTGTCAAAGATTTGGCTTGCTACCAATGCAGTTTTTGAAATCTCTGGCCTAGCCCCTAGCTAAGCCTGCCTAGGCTAGCTAGGCCAAGGCTAGTCTGGCAAAAAAAAAAACCAAAAAAAAAAAACTCCCCCCTGCCCCTGAATATTTCTGAGGGTGTGACAATAAACAAGTATATTTTTTTTAATTTTCAAAATAATATGATATAAAATTAATATAAAATAAATTTTATTTATAATTATATTATTTTGAAAAATTCCAATAAGTAGTACATATTTAATATGAAAACAAAATCACAGATACAAAATAAAAATTAAATGAATGATAAACTTAACTTATAAATTAAGTATAATATTAAATTTTTATTTTGTATCATGATTTTTTTTTTTTCGTATTAAACATTTTCTGACACTAAAGTGAATAAATGTACAAGGTATAGAAATTGATTTTTTATACTCACTTGGCTATTTCTTTGTGATATTTATTGTACTACACTCACCATAACAGAAAATATTATATTAAAACATTTAACACACAAATTTATAGAAGTACATCATTAGTTATTTTCATACAATTTATTTTCTGAAAATAATATGTTGAGTTGGTATCAATATATTTTACTAGTTGAGAAGCTCATTTTGCTAGTTACATTTTTAACAACTAGCACATTTTAGCGATAGGTTGCTAGTGGCTGAAAAAGTAAATTTCTAGCCCTGGGGGGCCTAAGCCAATTCCCCTAGGCCTACGAGCCGGTCCAGTCACTTTCACTGCACTACACACCGTAGCCTGAAAAAGCCTAACTTACCCCGCGACGTAAAATCCATAAATCAATTATTCGCCTAGCGACCATACAAAGATGTGGGAAAACGCACCTATAATCTTTCAAAAATCCGGTTGGTATAAAAAAAAAATTATAAAAAATATGAAAAATTACGATAATATAGGCGATCAAGGTGTCATTTTCGAGCTTTTGACATGATGGATCTCAACGTCATGATTGCGCATGTCACAGAGAAACCAAAAAGTTCGAAAGTTCAACGGTCATGTCAGGGTTTGTTTTCATTTTTGCTGACGAAGTTGATAGCCACATTTTTTTTTCAGCCACAAAAAAAAATTAATTTTACGTGGAAATATGAGGATATAATAACCAAAACTGGTACAGTATGTATATTGAATATACATTTATTATAGGAAAGTGTCAGATTTGTTACTTTTTGAAAAAAAAGTGTATTTTTAGATGATTTTATTCATCAGTGTTGACGGCGGCGCCTTCCCGTTCAAGGGTATCATATTACAAAAATAACGATCATATTTCATATTTTTAATTACTCTAATCATTCAAGTTAATTAAAAAAGCACCAAGAAACATTTTTTTATAAAAATTTTTGATATTTTCTCGAATATTTAATGAAAATACATGCACACATTACTGCACATACATTTTTTTTTTAATTATTGTTAATTAATTAATTAATTACTGACGATAATTAGAGAGCGCTTAAAGCGCTTATGGGCATGAATGAAAAACAGTGAAAGTTTAACAATACATTGTTCTGTGTATATCATTTGAATTTCTTCAATTTCAAACGAATGACAGCTGAATTTCGTGTAAATTTTGTAGTATTTCAAATGAATATGTACCCACTGTTGTTTTCTAATCGGATTAAAATCTGGCCGAATTTTGGCCGATATCGAAAAAAAGTTTGGCCGAATTTGGCCGTGAGATGGCGTGTGTTTGGCCGTGAAGCCTGTCGACTATCAGTATCTAGCCACCCTGGCCTACTACTACTAGGTATGTAGGCCTACCTAACTATAGGTAGGCCCTAGCAGCAACTGTAGTTTTTTAATGTGTTTAAGTCTACTTACAGATTGTTTAGCAAATCTTGTAGTAAGAATTGCTTTCCATGTCCAAAAAAGTCATAAATAGAGTGGTAGTCACAACTAAAGAGATATTCTACTGTGATTTTTCAGAGAACCGAAAGCACATTATTTCACTTGCGAGTAGAGAACAGACGTCAACCGTGTTATGATTGGTCAAACAAGCACGTGATAATGACAGGTCAAAGGGCAACACATGTGCTGCTTGTTTTGTTTTGATATAGAAACCACAGCACAGAAACTCAGAACGCAACAAGATTAAAAAGGCTTACCGCGTATTTAATAACAATATAAATTACAACTTTATTCGTTATTTTTTGTAAAGTAAGTAAGTAAGTAAGAATTCAGCATCAGGGCTGCCAAGAGGAGCAATTGTAACAGTAAACTGCGCGAGATTGCGCGGAAGGCACATAAAATTTTTTTTTTTTTTTTTTTTTTTTTTTTTTTTTTTGGAGAGGCCCTGTCATAGGGGACCCGTGTCATTTTTTAGGGCACATGATAGTAATTATTATTTTTCAAAGAAATATTGAAAAAAAAATGCTACCTTCAATTTCTATGGGCACCCTGGTTAGGCGGGACCTTTCGCCCTGCCCCGCTCTGGCCACCCTGGACCTTTCCCCCTGCCCCACTCTCGGTGGCCCTGGACAGCAGAGGAAAACCAGCCTTTCCATGACATAGCGACGGGTTGGTGAGTGCGTGTAGCAATATATATTTTACAAACATGTATAGAGGCCGGGTATCACTGTTAAGTAAATGACGTTTTATGATAGGGTTGCAGAGAAACATCTTCGACTTTGTGATTAGAAAAATATTTGCAGGCAACAATAATAACATCAATACAGGGGTGGCGCCAGGACCTGCCCGACGGAGGGGCTAAAGGCCCCAACGGGGGGCTAGTGGAGCGAATGGAGTCTCACTTGGCTGGGGGCCAGGGGGGCGCCCAGGGCCCCCGGTGGGGCCACAGATATTTGATGAATTATGGCGAATTTTTATTACTTATTTGATAGGCATCGAGTTACTATAATATGACTTCATGTAGGCTATGCTTTCTAATGTTGACATCAGCTTCCAAAACCGAAACATTTTGAATAAAGCAAGAAACAAAGAGTATGCAATGTAACCATCTAATTTATTTTCAAATCCTCATTCTTGA